TATAACATACTTATGTTATAATTTTTTTTTATAAAAAATAATTATATCTGCTCTACTTTGTATTGAGCACTCTTTTAAGAATAGTAATTGTTGGTTATTGAATTCATTCCCTGTATACCAATTATATACTTTGACATATATATATATATATATATATATATATATATAATATGTGTTGTTTAGTATTTCATTTTAGAGATGAGTAATGTCGGGATTTTTCTTTTTTTTTATATTTACAAAGCAGAGCTTGAGAGTAGCTCAAACACGAAAGTACGGAATACTCTGTAAGGATCGAACTCACTACTCAGATGTAAGTTAATCTACCGAGATAAGTGCGTTAACCATTACACCCCATAGGAGTGCGCCGTAATTTTGTATGCAAGTTCAATATATGTGGAATAAAATAATCGTGACTGCTCTGTGGCTGCCTGCGTGATTTTTGAAATTCAACGTATCTTGATATTGGAAACTTCTATGGTCAAAATAGCAATAAGGGAATTACTAATAAAAATATCCCACAATGCAATGCTGCAAAATATGGAATTACTTCTGCTAGACGAGTTGCTAAGAGGATTTTATCTGTTGTTTATATCTGCTACGACTTAGTTTCATCTGTGGTGAATCAAATATTCTAGTCTTCTTTTGTTCCTGTTGATAACAACACAGAATTATGTTTACTCTCGTCTTTGTTACAGGTAAGCAAACCCAAGTCTTGATTCTCGGAACTTACGTTATTGTTAAATATTGACGTATCCGCAAATTAATTCTTTGTATTTCCCCATTTGACCGTGAGATGCTGTAGTTATAGCTCATATATTGCAAATAAATTTTCCTTTTCATATAACTTCAATATACATAGAACAAAATAATTGTGCCGCGGAGTGAAATTGTCAAATTATGCCAATAGTTTTATTTTGTACGCAAGTGTAGTGAATATTTGCATTGCCGGATGTGAGTAGTTGATTAGTAATATAAAGTCAGATCAAAAAGTATCGAAACTGATGCTATAAAAAGAATACAACAAATATCAATTCAGCATTTAAGCTCCTTCGAAGTAGCCTCCGTGAGAAGCCACACACTTTATCCAGCCTCGTTTCCATTGATTGAAGCATTCCTGGAACTCGTTGTATGGGATAGCGAGCAACTGCATTCTCTTGGATTTCTTCCACGTCTTGAAATCTTATTCCTTTTGTGTGGGATTTGATTTTTGAAGAAAAAGTTACAAGAGGAGAGATATGGGTAACATGCTGGTTGTCGGACCTGAAGATTGTTGTTATTTGCCAAAAACTGCACGAGACATGGCCGCTAATGGAACCTGTGTTATGTGGGAAGACGACCACACTCTACACCTTTTGCTTCCCAACACTGCTATAAACCACGGATGTGAGCGAGGACGTTATAACTTATTGTCCATGCGTGATAGAGTTCAAAGTGAACTTGTGTCAAGCGGCTTCACTCTACCTACGTTACCTGTTTCCATGGCAGCGGTCCCAATACTTTTTAAACAGACATCGTAAAAATAACAACGAAAGTACTGACAGAGTGAATAGTATCGTAACGTAGCTTCCTAGTGTCTTTTCGATAAATGCTATTATGGTAATTTTTCTGATGAACTTTACGTAGATTTTATGAATTTAATCGTAGTACTAGATTAGTGGCAAGGTCTCATCATTTTACAGTTGAAATGGCTATATGTAACTGTAAGTTCTATGCTAAAAATGTATCTTCTCTACACGTCACGCTTGTGGAGCTCACTTCCGGCTTTTTAATGTCGAGTCAACTCTGATTTTAAAAATTTCAACGCAATATAATCATAAATCATTATCTTGTCTTATTAATTATTCCTCTTTTTTTTTCTCCATAATAGTTTGTTTCTCATATTGTTTCGCACTCAGTAACCTCTTGTGTCCTGGTGGCTTTATTGCCTTGCTTCGGGGGAAATGATTTAAAAAAAAATCGTCTATATTTCTGAGATGAGGTATTATGTACACTATTTACATTGTTCGAACTATCGTCCCCATTTTTGTTGCCATATTTATCTCAACGACAACATGGCACAGTGGATAAAGGCGTTATTTAGATCCAGTGACAGGACCCAAAGAGTGTGAGTTCAATACTTGATTAAGGCGGTGGAGAACTTGGAGACGGGAATTAACAGGAGATAACTGATAATTGACAGCCATTAGACATAGCACGTGGAACTAGAACAGTCCACGCCAGCGAGCGAAATAAAGGGTTCAGTTCGACATTCCCACCACCTGAAGAAGGCCGAAACGTTGTGATAAATATGGCAACAAAGATGAGAACGATAGTCTGAACAATGTAAATAGTGTAAAAAAATTATCACAAAATCTTCGATCACCATAATTTCGACTGATTAAACAAGCGAGGAAAAGTTTCTGTATTTCAGAATTTAAAAGGTCTCAAACAATCTCAAGCCTGTATTTAGGGAAATGGTCTTCAGTGGTATTTCTGATTGCGTAAAAAATGTGTGTTTTTACAATGATGTTCACCCTATATAAGGCTCAAGAGCCACTTGAAGTAGACTGCTACAGAGTAAGATATACAGTTTATGGGAATATGTAGAGAAGATAACGACTGACCCTAGATTCAACAGGTTAAGATTGTAGCTATCGGGAAACATTTGTTGGGAGTCAGTTCCACAAATCCGCGGTTCATGGGGCGGGGCTACTTAAGTGGAACTTACATCTGAACAGTTGAATATGAAGAGAATGGGTGTGGTTCGCTACAATGGGTGTGGCATGGTGGATCTTATCTGTGAAGGTTAGAACTGGCTGTACTAAGGAATTTAGCTGGTATAAAAACTTTCCATGGAAAAGGTGATAAAAACAGCAAGCGGCTTGCGACATTTCGTCTCTGAAAAAATGGATTGTAGGGTGGAAATTAACTCGTCACCCATAAAGACGTGAAAGCGCTTTTAATTATTGAAAGCTGCTGTTTTGATTCTATATATTTGTAAAAAAATACTCTTCTCGTTTGAGTTACGATAACTTACGGTGAACATTACGACCTATTAGCGATATGGAATCAGTAATGAAATAGTCAAAAATTAGCTGTATTCGTTGTTTATTTAATTCCAATATTGCCTAAACATTTTAGGCTGTTCATGAAATTAGTCTACTTAACGTATTATTATTATTTACAAAGTACAAGGCCTCATTTTAGGTCTTCCAGAGTTTAACCAACTTACTAATAATCTTCACCTGGGAACCACTGATAGCTATGAGCAACCGAAGAGAAAAGAGGAGACCAGCTTCAGGGAGTTTATGACAAATCAATAAAATTTAAACAATAATAAAGACTAAAAAATGTATTATAATTCAGCTTTCTAGCACGACCGTTGCGTCTTGCCAATACCTCATAAATAATGAACTATTCTGTTTTGATTGCCTGGAAAGTCAGAAAAGACATTTCATATACGCTACTTGATTTCAGTGAAAGAAAGAAAACGCGTTTAACGTCTGTTTGAGTGAAACAGAAAAAGTTGGAAATTTCAAATATTTTCATTTGTATCACCTTACTTCTTAAAATAACTACCAGCATTCACATTTATTACTGTTATTGCTGTATTTTACTAAAGTTGTTAAGCTCAAATATTTAATGATACAATAGTGGAAATTGCAATGGATATACTACTCCAGTGAGAACTCACTATAAACTGATTGAATCATTCACGTAAGCATTAATATTCATCAGAAAATACAAATAGGAAAACCGTGAAATTTTCATGCAAGGCAGACATTTTAAGAGATCCGCCGTGGCAAAAGGCGTTGTTAATTCATTATTAAGGCGGTCATTAGTAAGTTGGCAGTTATCTCCAACAACGAACGTTTTCCACTTTCACAAGAAAGGTGGATGGAATTTTTGCCAGTAGCTGCTTCTAGAAGTAACTTCGATATTGTAGGTTTTTTTGGCTCGATTTTTATCTGGCTTCAAGTAAGTTTTTTTTTTTTTATCGTGTTTATCTTTTTTCCTGTATAAACTTGTCTCCTTGTTTCATGGCGAGCATCATTTTGCTTATAGCTGTTACTAGGCTAGGAATCTATAATGACACAGAATACGCATACTGGAATGAGAAAAATAGCATTATTTTTGGTATTGTTGTTATTATTATTATTATTATTATTATTATTATTATTATTTTATTATTATTTCTTCGATTTTTGGTGTGTACTCATTTCTTTCCGGGTCCTAACCAGAGACTAAGATCATAAATAGCATCATGACATTTTCCACTGATCATTTTTTGAGGAAAATTAAAAAAAAAAAAAAACTCTAAGATCACACATCTTTTACATAGATAAAGCCCTTCATAAGGTGTGGGCTGTACTTATGGGTACAGTTTTTTGTATTTTTTAAAGCGTGGGCTACCAGGAATTCCTTCAATGAGTCTGTTGGAATCTTTCAAATCAGTCCGAGGGCTCCAACTACAATTGGAATTGTTGATGTCCTCATGTGCCATATTTTTTAGATTTTGATTTCAAGGTCTTTGTATTCTGATAGTTTTTTTGAAAATCTAGATGAAGATACATTAGAGTCTTCATGTCAATGAGAAGGCACATTTTGATTTTACAGGTCTCTGATCAAGATGCCTGGGAGATTAGCTTTGATTGTTCTGTCTCTGTGTATTGTATCGGGTCATATCTCTGTAACCGGCTCTCGGTGGTGTTCATACCAATTTATTGTTATTATTGTTATTATTATTAATATTATTATTATTATTGTATTGTTATTGTTGTTATTGTAACTATTATTAATATTCTTATTATTATTATGGTTTTGTTACTGATGTTATTATAATTATTATTATTTTTATTATTATTATTATTATAATGACGTAATTCAACTTGGTATTTAGATCTTTAGTTAGCACGTACGTTACGACCTGCCAATAACGCATAAATAATGGGCTATTACATTCTGACTGCGAGGTAAGCCGGAATAGTTATAATAGGAACTGTTGCAATACTTGTTTGGTTTCAATGAGAAAGAAAGAAAGAAAGAAAGAAAGAAAAGAAAGAAAGAAAGAAAGAAAGGAAAGAAAAGAAAGAAAGAAAGAAAAAAGAAAGAAAAGAAAGAAAGAAAGAAAGAAAGAAAGAAAGAAAGAAAGAAAGAAAGAAAGAAAAGAAAGAAAGAAAGAAAGAAAGAAAGAAGTCAACAATAACATCGATGTGTTTAACGCCCGCTCCACTGAAATAGGAAAATTATTATTATTATTATTATTATTATTATTATTATTGATGCTGGGGTATACAATATACAAAGCCCAATATATATATATATATATATATATATATATATATATATATATATATATATATCATAACACTCAATCTGATAAGGGTATACCAAGTTCATGCATCACAGCCAAATGTTTGTCACTATTATTATACCCATCATTTCACCCAGTCTGATAAAGGTATAAGAAACACGGGCATCACAGCCAAATGTACACGATATGGCGACAGGTTTTGCTGCCCACCTCTACCCTCGCTAATAACAAAAAATGCATCATGTGACGGACAAGCAAATTTGTTATAATCAACGGGATATTTACAGTAGAATATTCTCCAATATTCTCCAAGACAAAACATTACGCTTGCAAGCATATAAGCCTAGAATCCATGGGAGTTATATCTAATATAGCATCAGAATATATTATTATTAGCATTATTAATGTACTTCTGGGTAATATTATAATTCAAACAATATAGCATTTGGAACAAAAGTCAAATAGAAAGTTCATTCATTACTAGTCGAACAGTTGGTGCCAAATGAATAAATATATACACCAAATAGACAAATATGAAAAGGATGTAAGAGCTAGATAGATTTGAAAATAGTGTCCTAGATAGATCTAGATTGATACATCTTTCCCATTTGTTCTTTATTCTATTGGATTCCGAGCCATATTTGATCTATATTAACAGTCTGTTTCATATAAGCTTCAGGCCTTCATCATCATCAAGTCTGAAGATTGCGTTTAAGCATACAATAGACGGTCGACTGGGTTTACCTCTGTGAACCATACTTGTATATCTATACATACACAATTTATCACTAATATTGAGCACTTTTACCCATAAATGCAGCATGCCTTAAAACTATATATTTTATCATATATGAAGAAATATAGTCTTAAGATGTGCTATATTTATGGGATAAAGTGCTCAATATCAGAGAAAGAGCGTGTCTAAATATAATTTAACCCAAATAAATAAATAAACAAACAAACGACTTCCGCCAAAATAGACTACCCACAATGCACCACTGACCCGTATATATATAAATAGCCGAGAAAAATAACAGCACTAGCATGAAACAGAGTGTCGCCTCTAAGCGTTGATTTTATATTTATATATATATATATATATATATATATATATATATATATATATATATATATATATATATATATATATATATATATATATAGAAATAATTAGGATTTGAAATATTCATAATTAACTAATTCATCGTGCTTAGAAGAAACCTCAACTGAATGCAGAAAGCACTGGATAGCCGTTTTGTCCTATATTTGGGACTCATCAGCAGTGCGCATCCACTACCAAGGGTCTGGGATGAGATCCACCACGGTGTGTATATATATATATATATATATATATATATATATATATATATATATATATAACTCGCTGCACTATAAGGCCCCAACAGGCCGTGACGCTGTTACCTGCACAATTCATTATAGTCTGTCATAGCTTCCTAGAATTTCAACCTCAGACAACCTTGATTAATTCAATTTGAGATTACCTGTGTCAATATGAGTAGGTTGATCGTAATCAAATGACAGGGTCATTAATGATTGAATCTTATCATAATGTCATGATATCTGCTATTATGCATCACATCACACACATACATTATATATTTATATATATATATATATATATATATATATATATATATATATATATATATATATATATATTTTAGTTGGATTGATGTATAAATATGTTAGCTCTATCACTGATATTGAGCGCTTTCCAATAAGTACTGCGCATATATAATACATACAAAAATTGCATATATATATATATATATATATATATATACATTTACACAGTTGATATACGATATCTTTGCCAAATCGAATGATATTGTTCGTTTCTCATGATTCCCTTGACTTGAAGCACATCTCCGACCCTCTCTCCCACAAAACACCCCCAAGCCATAACAGACCCACCGCCATGCTTCAGAGAGAAGACTGTTATGGGGTAAAAAAGTATAAGAACTGGACATTAAAACAGTAGTAAAATGTATTGTGGATAGACGATACCAAATTTGGACTTTTTAAGAGGAGATTTTATGCGAAAAGAAAGCCAGGAGAAAGACTGAATGATGAATGTGGGGCACTAACAATTAATCTATCTGCCTATCTGGCATGTTTGGGTAGTAAACTAAATTTAATTACAGGTATATTCCTAAGAGATTTTACTAAAAAATTACGGGATAAGACGTTAATTTTTTTTTACAACTTAATTTCCATGCGCTCTTTATTAAAGACGTTATTACATAATGTAATCCAATTTACTAATAACAAGCAGACACGTCTTCTATAAAACTCTGAATCGAGAAGATAAGTTTGTTTGTTTTTTTTTTAATTTTATTTCATCTATTTACTTTTAATTTCTTAAAAGTGAGCAATTTATTAACAAAATCTGCTCGTTTTAAAAAAAATATATTATCCACCAGAAATACACGAGTTGGCCGTTTTTTTTCCATGAGTTTTCACTCTGACATATTTTATTTATTATTTTTATATGGTTGTATATTTATATATTCAGACAGTACACGCACACATATGTGTAAAATTCAATGTACATTCATGTATGTATGTGTATGCATGTGCATGTGTGTGCATGTATGTTTGTATGTGAGTGTGTATACATGTGTCTGTATGAATGTACATTGACTTTTACAATTTTGTGGAAAAACAAAAAAGTGGAAAAGTTTTTGTATAACGCATATATATCTACATATATATACATACACACACACATATATACACACACACTAACACACACACACACACATATATATATATATATATATATATATATATGTTTAGAGAAGAAGAGATAGAGAAATTGACCAAATGACCAAGCATCAAAACAGATCAAAGGAATGAGTCACTTCAAATGCCGATATATGATTCCAATAATCATTGGTTGCTTACAGAAGATTTGTAAAAGACGTACAACAGAAAAATTGAATATTCATCATAAAATACAGAGAAGAGACTCTGTCATGACAGTCAGATAATATATTCTATGATATTTATCGTGTATTCAGTCAATAAAAATTTCACAAAGTAAAAATCTGTTTCTCTTCTTTATTTTTCTTTCTTGAATTCTTTCTGTCTCCTCTTTTTCTTTTTCATCTTTCTCTCATTCTTTTTTTTTCTTTTCTCATTGCTTACCTTTCCTTTTATTCTTATGCGTTCTTGCCTGTTTTGTGGTGATATCAGTCGATTACACCATACAACTATTGTCAGCAGCAAGCCGTTTAAACATTGTGTGTAAGGCAAAATCACACAGTTGTGTAGCGTATGTTCTTGTGCGTGATACGAAACATTTTGAACGAATATTGAAGGCAAAAAGTTGTAGTCTTGTAATGTACATAAATATATGTTTTCAGAAATTTTTTACTCAGTTTAAAATAACTCTTATTTGAAATAGTAATATTTCAAATACACTCAATTTATACAATAGATAATGAAACACAAAGTAGGCAGGTTTTGATAACAACTGTTTACAAAAGGCATTTAATATGTCGGCCATATTTTTCTTTGGAAATCAGAGTAATTGAATGTCTCTTGTCTCAAAGACAGGAAATCCACCGTAATTGATTTTAAAAATTTAAAAAGGGAATACACAAGATCTGTCTTGTTTTGATAACATTAATGTTACAATAACCCACCTTTCCTTCAAAATTCGAAAATAAGTTTTGAAACGGAAATGAGGATAAGAAACACACATCCGGTTCATTCTCATTCTTAAATATCATTAAAAAGTAAATATTTTAGTGAAATATATATATATATATATATATATATATATGACATTAAGATTTTAATAAATAATCTCGTATAACTTTTTCCACACAAAAAATGATATAGGTTTTATGATGTCAACGAACACTCGTTGCCATTTTTGTGATGTCAACGAATACACGTTGTCACTTTCGTAATGCTCATTGTAGTAGAGATTTTGTAATCGCAGATACAACTTATAGTAACTTGTGTCAGACGCCTTCGAATATCACTCGCACTAATACCACTTGCTCGATAATACTCGCTCGAATAGTAACCACCGAGTAGTAATCCGTATAGGGAAATAGCATAGTGAATAGAATAGCGAATAGCAATCCGTATAGTAATAGAGGATAGACTAGAAATAACAATTAATTAGACGTTACGCGATTTGCTACTTATGCTGTTCCTCTATGGTCACATGGTCTACTTAGTTCAATAATGGGATCGCCAGTGTTTGCTAACTGGCAATCTATGTTCGAACTCAAGTGTGGGCAGCCACATTTTATTCCTATATAACAATAGGGATGTCTGTATTACGGCCATAATATCTGTAGTCAAGGGAGTAATTTCTTTCCTGTTTTAACTTCAGAAACAAGTTGTAGTCGTATTATACACGAAATAGTATGATACGTAAAAATATGTGTTGTGTGGTATTATGGTCTCATGGATATATATATATATATATATATATATATATATATATATATATATATGTGTGTGTGTGTGTGTGTGTGTGTGTGTGTGTGTGTGTGTGTGAAAACTGTGTGTATATAAATATAAATAAATATATATATATATATATATATATATATATATATATATATATATATATATTATTTATATATTATATGTTCTTATTAGAAAGCGCTCAATATCAGAGGTAGAGCTAACATATTTGGTTGGATTGATGTGAGTTTGTGACCCTGGCTTTAACATATATATATATAATGGACTCCCCGTCGGTTTCGACGTATGAGAATCTGCCAGCTTATTGACGATCGCAAAAGCGTGAAACCCAGGGTCACAAACTTCGACATCATTTTCAACCAAATCAATATAGTTTTAAAAGAAAAGCAAACAGTAATATGAGGTTTGTCAATTGCTGAAAGGAAGTCATTGATAATAAAGAAAC